CACACACACACACACACACACACACACACACACACACACACACACACACACACACACACACACACACAAACAAACAAACAACCAAACAAACAACCAAACAAACAAACAAGCGTGGCAGTGTGGTAGATTCATTCGATTTAGGTCATCCATTCGATGGAAGTACGATGAGGCCAACCGGGAGGTTGGAGACTTACCCTCTCTCTCTCTCTCTCTTTCTCCCTCATACACACACACACAAACAAAAACAAGTGTGGAAGTGTATATTTCCTTGTTCTAGCGGTAGTTTTATCCGATTTTGCTTTTTTTTTGCCTCTCTTTTTGCTGGCAATTTTTTTTTATTTTTTTTTTTTGTTGAGTACTACAGGGCCCCTCGGGATCCCCCCTACCATCCTTGGGGCTCAAACCCCCACCGCCACCCCCCCACCAGGCCTAGGCAAGTTCGGACAGGACCCGTACGTATGACCGTACGGCGTACGACCGTTTGTGCGTCCGTACGCACAGGCCGTGCAGACTCTACAGAGACCCCCCGTACGACGAACTGGGGACTACACTGTACATGGCCATGGGGATGAGGGATTGGGGAGCAGATCGGTCCTCCCCACCCTCCAATTTCTCTCCTCACATTGTTGTTTGATTTTATTTTTTTTCCGGGTTTTCTCAATGGAAAAAGGTGTTGAGCATCACATTTCCTTGGCGATGAAGGTGAGGGATTGGTGAAGAGGTGCATCCTCTCGTGCCTCCCCACCCTTTGATTTCTCCCCACATTCCTTTATTTCTTTGTTGCGCACTTGGAAAACGTGCGTGGCCATGGAGATGAAGGATTGGAAAGAAGATCTATGCTCCCCACCCTACTATTTTTCTCTCCACATTCCTTTTCATTGTTTGCTATCTCGGAAAAGGTGTTGGCAGTGTTGCACATCACATTGGCACGCCTAGTAAGGAGATCAGGGACTGCGGAAGAGATAGATCCTCCCCAGCTTATGATTTCTGTCCTCATAAGGGCGTGAGCGACGGGGAAGAGATTGATCCTCCCCATGGTACGATTTCAATCCCCACATAATGGGCCACATTCCTTTATTTTTGTTGCTCCTTCGAAAAAGGTATCACATTTTACATCTGCATGACCATGGCGACGAAGGACTGGGGAGGAGATCCTCCTCCCCACTGTCGGATTTCTCTCCCCACATTCCTTTTTTTGAAGGGGTAACTACGGCGCAGTCATGAAAGCAGTTTGTAATTGCATTTGGAAATGCGTTTTAGCAGTTGGGGCCCGAGTTTCAATTGCAGTTGAAACTCGGACTGCGCAGCTCAGTCAGGGCCCTCGTCTATCCACGAACAGAAGATAAAAAAAGAAAAGAAAAAAAAAACATCCCTTATGCTGTGATTGTGGTCCTATACAGGATGCTACAGTGTTTGTGTGGAGCTGAATGAAGCGAGTCAGTTAGCTGCCTCGCATGGAATCCGCCCTGCCAGCCAGGCAGGGCGCTACAAGGACCTCACACAAGAAACAAAAAAGGAAAACGACCTGTTTCATGTTCCTCACTTCGTGGCCAGATACATTCCTCAAAGCACTGGTGAGATGAGGGCCTTCCCGACGTAGGTGGATTCGGAGTTCCTCATTTCTTTACTTTTTAATTTCTTCTTTTTCTTTTTTCTGTTTTTGGCCTCCATCCCTGCCCCGATCGGCTATTCTTGAGACTTCGCGCTTGCCTGTGAAGGGTAGTACCTGCGAATATCGGCTGTGTGCCGAGACATCTCGGCCGTGGCCCAACTATGGGGCTGTTTTTTTTTTTTTCCCCCAGACACGGTGCGGCACGCCGCGTTACGGCACGCAACCAAAAAAAAAACTACACTACAATCAAAAAAAAAAAATCGAAAAAAAAAAAACCCAGCCATGTGCCTGACTGAACTGCTAGAAAAAGCCAGCCCGAGTTTCAAAGTGCTAAAACGCAGTTTCAACTGCAATTGAAACTCGGGCCCTGACTAAACTGCTAAAACGCAGTTCCAAATGCAATTACAAACTGTAACCCTGACTGCGCCGTAGTTTTCTCTTTTTTGAATGCTGTATTGAAAGAGGTGTTGCGCATTAGTGCATGGCCGTGGAGATGTGGGATTTGGGAGGACATGGATCCTCCCCACCCTACGATTTCTCTCCTGACATTCCTTTTTGGTATTGCTTTTTTGAAAAAGGTGTTGCGCATCAAATCCACATGGCTATGGAAATGAGGGATTGACGAGGACATGGGTCCTCTCCACATTGGAAAAAGGTGCTGCTCGTGATATGACATTGGCTATAGAGATGAGCGATTGGGCAGGAGATGGATCCTCCTTACCCTACAATTTCTCTCTTCACATCCCTTTTTTGTCCTCTTCTTAAGAAGTTGTCCAGGTGACCTTCACCGCTACGGAAATCTGTGTTGCCGCGCGTTCAATGAACGCGCGTTTCGCGTTCATGTTTTGAACGCGTTCATTGACCGGGGCTAAACGCGCTGAACGCGT